AAAACAAAACGACGACACAGAGACAAGAAGGACACGAACGTCCTTCTTGTCTCTGAGTCGTCGTTTTGTTCTTGCGCTATATAACTATCGTCATGTCATGCCAACTAGCCCAAGCTGCCACACATTTAGGTATCAGACTTCGCGCAACTTCTTCAAGCTTTAAACAGCTGTTCGTTTCTAAGTTTACTTATCTACGGGCTAATCACCAAAGACACTGATAACGGGACGGAAACAAACAGATGAAGGTAGTTCATATAGCAGGCCTGTAGGAAGGGGTTAGGGGTGCGGCCCGCCTCTCCAAAAATTCTGATGAATGGGGGCGTTTTACCGACATTAAATAGGGAAAATACCTGCTTATCTAAAATAGTTATGACATTCAGTAAGTGCGCCCCCCCCCCCAGATAAAGATATGAAGTAAAATAAAAATTCCTTGCTACGGGCCTTCCATATGTAGTCATCACACATAGAGCATAGGCGTTATTAAGTAATCAATGGCAGCCCACCGATATTTCCAAAAAGGGAAACGTATAGCTGGCACACCCTGCTATACAAATAACCCATGGCATCCAAAATATTGAGAGAAAAAAAGGAACGGCACTAAAACAACATAAAATGGTAAATCTCTTCAGAACATCATCGACAGCGTACATAACTGGTGCATTCATTGCAAGTGACCCCAAACCGCCAAAAAACACAAATTTCTATCGACTTCCAGCAGGCATAATCTATTTCTTTCCTCCTACTCAATCACACACATCCCAATCGAATCAGTTCTCACGTATAGGTACTCAGGCTTAACTTTATCCCACAACCTTTCTGGGACTGTGCATGCGACAAACGTGATTTTATCAGCAAACAAGACCTTAGAATTTATGAAACGCTACCTCCATCATGCGCCATAACAAGTCAAATTACGTGCACGCAAATTATTTCTCCAACCAAAATTAAAATATGCTGCTGCCATCTGGAACCCTTATCAAGCATTCAGAATCGTGCCACAAGATTCATCCATTCTTCATATTCATATAACGACAGCATTTCCCTCTTAAAGGCAGAATCAAGCTTGTCATCCCTCGCTTTTTGTCGTGGTGTTGCCACTTTCTCTTTTTTTCACAAATTGTTTTACAGCTCACCGAACCACCCACCTTACATCACGCCACCATCGTCACGCACGTTACTGTGCACCAGCCATCAACTGCAAGTGACCCGTCCACGAACACAAACAGTAACATTTCAAGCCTCATTTTCTCCTATAGCTGTCAAAGGACGAAACGACCTGCTGCCGCCATAAGAAGTCGTGCCAAATTTCTGGTCCACGTTGCCAACATGTATCACATCATAACAGCTGCTTTTATTGTACTATTATGTTAAGCACCCTTTATGAAATACCCCTAAACGGGGTCTTAATTCTAATAAACTAAAATGGAGTGCATTTGCAATCATATATCATTGCAACCTAGGGTACGTTCAATTGCAGGTACCGCCAGGGGCGTACCAACTCTTTCGTGAGAGGGGGAGGGGTGGAACACATGACTCACTCGTCAGCCAGAAAAAAAATATATATATATCCATTGCGTAAGAATCACTTGTAACCGACGACGTCAAAAATAATAGAATCAGCTGTTTTTAATACGACATACTGTTTGCCATTCGTTCTTCGGCATTTAAAATTGTCTCTGTGCCACGAAATTGCCTGCTTCTTACATGACGTCACGAATGTGTGAAATGTCGTTGTGTTCATTACAGTGCATACACATTAAACAGGGCATTCATGCACTGAACAATACCTAAACGTTTTGGGACAGTCGGGGAGCATCTTCTCCTAAATATTATTCAAGTAGACTAGCCGCCGGACACATTATCAGCTGGCGAGATGAAATATTATGAGTTTAATAAGATATTTTCACCTGCAGCATCAAAGCGTCTAGTAGGTTATGCGTGCACACATATCTCTGTGAGCTCGTGCTTGCTGAGAGAGAGAGAGAGAGAGGAAGACAGAGAAATGAGCAGCACTGGATGTGTGTGCTTTTTTGCTGTGTAAGTCGTATTTTGAACTGCAAAAAATGATTCAAGTTGAATGAAAACCTACTAGCCAGACTCTCAAATGGGCCTCCATAGTGCTAAAAACCATAGTCTTCCAGCTTCTCCTCGAGTCCGCTGCTTTATTTGTCGCCACTTTGCAAGCTGCCACCTATCGCCCCAAGGTACGATAAGCAAGGCTGATCAGGTTTATCGAAGACTAAAGCGGAAACACTTTTTTTTGCACTTCTAGATGACACTATAACATTAAAGAATATTCGTAACGTTCATCAGCTCACAGCAGCTTCTACAAAGTAGTGGTGATGACATGCATTTTCGATCAAGAAAAGTAATTTTCTTGAAGCGGCAGATGATTTGACCAGTCCATAAAAAGTTTGCTTGTTCGCATCTGTAACTGCATCGGCCAGTCACAGCAGAATGAAAGCATGGACAAGTTATGCAATGTTATTGAGCCCCTGTTGAGCGCTGGCCTGCAGCAAAAAGTGCGAAAGCACCGCGTTGGCGGCCCGCGCCGCTAGAGCCTACAAGGAAAATTGTCACAGCAAAAATGTTGGAGAAATTTCACTATATCGCAACATTGCCTCGTAACAACATAAGGGATTACTGTGGTGAAGGAAAACTTAGCCTTAATTGTTGCTTTCCCCAGCGTGCAGCCAACAGTGACCACTGTCGAAAGTGGGTGGGGGGGCTCAGCCCATCTAACTTTTCTCAGTGGGGGGGGGGGGGGGCTCGTGCCCCCCTTGCTCCCCCGGCTGGTTCGCCTATGGGTGCTGCACTAGTTGACAATACGAGAAAATCAAATCAGGCAGATAGGCCAGGTGACTGACAGTCTTGTTCGCGACAAGACAAAGTCCAGACGTCCTGGTCACAATTACAAGTATAGAGCAAGTGTGTGAACATAGTGGGCCAGGCAAGAAGAGCTCAAAAAGGCAAAAAGATTCTAAAGGCACCCTCTAATGCTTACAAATTGTACATGGCTTCATAACAAAACCGAAACTGACTACAAAAATAAGTTTATTATTGTGGATTATTAGAATACATAGTACAGCATTTATTTCAAAATAAAACTTCCAAAATAATCCTTTGTTTCATCATTGACAACAGCAGCGATGACACAACCTTAAAATCAAACAGTAAAATGCGAGAGTACATTGCTTTGGGACAGCAGCAGTCATGTCGTAGATGGGTCTGCAGGCACTTACAATCAGGGTTTTTTTAATGCTCACTCAACAAAGCCAATTTTCAATTAAGTGATCGAAAACAGTACAAAAAATAAAGAAAAATAAAGCAGACAAAATACATTAAACTACTCTATCGAACAAGCCACTAATCTGTAGCACTCTGCCCATATGTAAAAACGCAAATCCTAAGAGGTATAGCCACGAAAACATCCATTGTCACACATTATGGAAGACAGCGTAACACAGCAAGCTACATAAAAGGAAGCAAAATCAGTGGATGCACAGAATTACATGAGAACCTCAGTGCCATGCTCTTAAATACTACAAGCCCTAATACAGACACAGAAAATAGAAAGGCAGTGAGCATAACAGAAAATGTAAAACTGAGCAACAACCTCGGCTAAAACGTTACTGATATATATATATATATATATATATATATATATATATATATATATATATATATATATATATATATATATAATATATATATATATACATACATACATACACCTGTAAGTTGCAAAGCACAGTGGAAAAGGGCAAGTTCTGTAGAAATTACGCTGAACTAGGGAGAATGAAATCAACTTACTCTTCAGGAGGAATAACTTAACTACGGTGGTAACAGTAAGTCATGAATCGAGCAGTTATTGATCATGCACAACCAGCTATATATATGAAATTCATAAAACATCCTTTGAAATCATTGCGTTTCTTTAAATCAACTTGCACATACAATAATAATAAATATGAAAGCCAGAAATTCTTGAAGAATTCTGGAATTTCATTGACTCATATCTTGAAAGGAACATTCCTAAATTGCAGAAGGACTCTTACTATGAGACCATTAAACAAAGGGAGAAATCAATGCTCTTTTTGTTCCAGGTTAAGTCAGCTGATTAGTTTCTATAATAAATGTATGATGAATGATCTAGCTGGCTTTTGCCACCAATGACCTCGGTGATATTGAAAACTGTACAAGCAGGACGCAGAAGGAAATGCAGCTTTTGAAATTTCTGTACCAACCTTTGCATGAACCTACACATCATGGTAGCCTTTCAATAAATATTTAGCTGATTAAACAGAAATAGTCATTGCATTGAATTATTAAACAATAGAAAATGTGACACTGAAAAGCTTGAGGAGTTGTAAAAGTACCACAATGCACAGTGCATTACAGTAATCTTAGGGGTTGGGACATGAAATCCAATAGAGAGAATTTATGGTTTTCTTTTTTCACAATGAAATACCTAAAGTTTTTGAAGAGTTAATAACTGCATTAGCCTTATTTGGTGTTTACGTTTAGAGTTTTCTTTGGCTATAGTTTAACCTCAGCACACTTGAAATTTGCATTTAGACCATGATACTACTCCTTTAGCCACTCGAATGCCAAAGGTTTTTCCAGTAGGCGTGTTTTGGCATCAACAAATTCCGTCAACATGGTAGCAAGCTTATCACACGCTACCAATGAATTAAATAGCAGCACTGATAAAAGCAATCATAATTTCTTTAGTTTACATACTGTGGAGCCTTACAGGCAGATACCACAGAACGCTTGCTTGTATTGTAATGGCAAACTGTTCGTCATTATGCTGTTTAAACTAGCTTGCCAAAGGTTTAGTGACGACTAATGCAAGCTGAATTTTTGAAAAGAAAGTGGTTGCCACCTTACTTGGAACTGGAGCTAAATGTAGCTGAAACTTTACAAGACTGACTATGTTAGACACAGTATCCACACATACGAATTTGTTCATGTATCACACACACATGCGCAGCTCTCAAAGTGAAAGACTCTGGTCTACATGTTCACGAAGCCTGCTTTCTCTGGGAACTTGCCAGAAAAAGAAAAATAGAAAACAGTGAAATGCTGAGGAACGCACAAGCAAAATTATTAAAAAAAAAAGCTGAGCGGTGCACCACTGTAAAGGGTGGTATATAAGCGCAGAATTCAAAAGCACCAGCACAAACAACTATCATTGCATTAATAAAACGAAAGGGAACCAAAGAAAATACTTAGTGCCCATCATAAAACTGAAAAGAATACCTTATGCCAACAACCTAAAGTAGTAAGTACATATCTTTGATTTTTCATATGGATGCGCATAATGTAAAACACAGGGTTGGGGTTCTTTTGATATGGGAACAACCAAAAGATGAGCCTAGGCTCGTTCACTACAAAGTACTAAAAGAAATGCTTGAATGCATCGCCAAATATAGGAACAAAGAATGTCTGTGCCACACAGACACGAGAAATGTGCAACACAGTCAGACTTCAATGTGTGCAATGCGTAAAAAAAAAGAATCATCTGGAAGCGCAATCCCTAGCACGGTACTTCCCACTGGCACACCCTCTGTGGTGTATGCCCAAACGTAATGCTAACATGGCATGGTAGCAATGTTATATGTTCAATTCTCACACACACCGTTACGAGCATTTAAAATACACCCAAACATATGGAACTGTGATATGATGTTCAGATCTTTACGGCCTGTCTGGTGATGCATTTTGATTCACTGGTTAGACAAAGCATATTGCACATCAGCTCAGCAATAGATCTGTTTATGGTTCACTTGTACCACTCTATCTTGATTAAATAGAACATAGGGTGCATTAGAAGCCAAAAGCAGCCCTACAGTATTTGTAACACACAGCAAATATATACATAAAACACAAATTGATTTCAACTCCAGGCACCACAAGTACAAGCTGAGTCGAACCACAAGTTGAATCAAAAATGCGTTTGACACACTCGAATGGTAGTAAAAAGGAAATACACAGCTTCGGTGCTTTGAGAATACTTCCGAACTTCCATGGCCATGTTAAAAGTCAGAGCATTAGATTGTTTTCCGTTGTTCACTTCACCTAGGGTTATTACTACTCACTGGTACCATTCATACAAATAAATATCTGATACACTACAATGATTACAAATGAGACTATCTTTTGACAATCTTACAAACAATTAATTGTGACTAATACACATTATTGTTCACCACAGTGCCTCAACCTGATCTTGGAAACATCAACTTGGGAAGTGGCAGGGGTTCAGTCACTTACACTACTCACTAAATGCAGTGTGCTTGTACAGCCCATGATATTGAAAACAAATCTGATGCTCTGATCTGCATATGTGGACCCTAAAAATGCAACATAAAGCCTAGAGCCTGGCAGTGCAGTCAGGGTGAGGCATCAGAAGCGCACCTCATATATGGTTGGCAATGTGACGGTTCAGACTTTGACGCGCTGTCTTTTGGCCAACCACCTCAACCTGGAAGCCGATGGATTCCAACTTGGCGATGTCAACAATGCGCCTCCCATCAAAGAGAAATGGTGGTTTGAGCATGGCGTTGTAGATCTGTTGGTAGTCCAGTGACTGTGAGAGAAAATTTAAAAAGAAAAGAAAGGCTTGTCATGGAATAACAAGATTGAGCACGTTTTGTTATAACCATGCTACATGATAACCATGCTACAGCAGCATGATTGGTAGTCCAGTGACTGTGAGAGAAAATTTAAAAAGAAAAGAAAGGCTTGTCATGGAATAACAAGATTGAGCACGTTTTGTTATAACCATGCTACATGATAACCATGCTACAGCAGCATGGTTATCAGCTGTAACTTTATTCAGCAAACGTAGCTAAAAAACATGCCGTCAAAGTTCAGTTAAGACAAATGCCATCATGCATGTTCTGGAAGGCCACACTAACACTGCTAACAAAACGTTTTTCACTTATGAAGTTCCATACCTTGAACTCATCCCACTCGGTGCAAATAACAATGGCATGGGTGTCTTGAGCAGCAGAATAGGCATCTTGGAAAATCTCCACTTGCTTCAACACTGCGTATGAATGCACAGTGTGGCCCAAATCAGAGAAATGTATCACGTACCATGGCTCAAGAACACCTTCTCAAGTTGCAGTTGCATGTGACAAGCTCTGTTCTAAACACGGCTACAAATGCTTGGTATTGTCTGTGGTCTATTTCACTGTCTTTGTTACATTCGTGGTACGGTAAAAACTTGTTAATTCAGACTTCACAGGACCAGAAGCAATGTCCAAATTAGCCGAATGCCAAAGTATCGAAAATATTATGAACAATAAACAAATGTCTGTTAGACTAATACACTTTTATTTTCTTGATGAATACAGAAATCCTGTAGTTCTTTTGCATAAAATCAGTGCAGTCACCATTATCGTCATTAATATGACTTCCTTTTCAATGCAACAATGGCACCAGAATGCCATATTTATGAGCCTCACACATGTTTTGCATCCCTCCCTTGTTATGTACTGCCACCACCAAGCGCACCTGATGGTACTTCTTTTGCAGGTAAAGTGCCTAGAAATTGAGCAGTCATTCAACATGATGTAGCAGACCAATTTCATGCCAGCATGCCGAGTGCGGCTCAAAGCTCTTCTTCAACAGCTTCCACCACGTTTGAGTCTTGTGACACTACATACATATTGCATCAAGTTAAAACAAAGCTGCACAGCACATGTGAACAAAACCGCCGTCATTAACTGTTGAAGATAGCAATGCGGACAGAGCCACATCGTTCCGGCTGTCTGCGAGTGCTGTTTTAGGTCTTTCGTTCCGCACATCTACAGCGCTTCGCGCTCGTCGCACTTTGGGAATTGTCCAAAGGCCATACGTGGCCGAATCATCCGATTTTCTAAACTAATGAGGGTCAAATTAACCATCTTTGCCTGTATATGAGAATAGAGTAATAGAGCGAATTAAAAAAGTTGAGAAGTCTTGTCACATAAGCATACACCTGGCCTATATCTGTCGTGCAAGTTTGCCTCTTGAAGACAATGGCAGTTTAAACTAACTTGTGAACTACAATAATCATCATAATCTATTCCACATCTACCGCAGGACGAAGGCACCTTGCAATGACCTCCAATCTACTATAAATTACATGAGTCGACTCCATTTTGTGCCTGTAAACCAGTTCATTTCATCACCTAAGCCATTTCTGCCCGCCTCAGCTGCATTTCCCATACTTGAGCATTTATTTTGTAGCTCTATCCTGTGCATAAACTGTGCCCCCTGAATCCCAGGTTCTTGCACAAAATTACAGCTCAGAACTTTGCAGGTGAAAAGTTAGTATCATACCTGGCTATACAACGTGTTTCGGCTAACTTGCACTAAGTATAATTTTTTATTTTGCACTCTCCAAAAAAACTGGAAGTAAGTTGAACAGCGCAGTCACCTCAGTATAGATGAAATGATCTAACACAGCTGAACAAATGTGACAACTTTCCTACTCAATATGTTTGGTTACACTTTCTGGTATTTTAAAGCTTTGTTAAACAATCTTTGTTAATTAACCAGCTTGTCTGACTGGCCAATTAACCTTAGCATAGATACCTTGTCACTTCAGAACAAGTGCTACAACGTTTATAGAGAAGGCTTTTTGCTAGCATTACTCATTAAAGATAACCAAGCAATTTCTATTAATTACCCAGCCAGGCAGCACTGAAGTAAATGCCATGACATGCTGCTTAAAAAACTGAGACAATTTGACACGCACAGCACTCCCTCCCCCGCCATTTTTTTTAAATCCTAAGCGCAAGTTATTTTTCTATTACATCGAGCAACTCAAGAGCACTTTCAAGAAGTGCGCTCTGCTGCTAGTGTTATTCACATGCCGTCACATCGGAGCGTTTAGTGGCACTTGCTGAAAGTGCACCGGAAAGTGCGTTCGCCAAACTCACTTTGCTTCAATGGAGCATCTAACCTCAGTACCAGTGACTATAAAATAAATAAATCATTATCCAAAGCTAACTTCATTGCATATTTTTACCCATCGTTTTTCATTGTTAGGAATATTTGCATGCGTTAAAATGTACTATACTACGAAAAACTACATTTACATTCTTGCACTTGGGCAGTTTTTGGCCACTGCCGCCAAGGGCATGCCCAGCAAACGCCAGGAAATGGCCGTAGCTGCTGTGTTTGTATGTAAAGTTTACTTTAACTTATATTTTATTACTACAACAGACGATCACTTGAGAAACCTTGCCTGGATTAATGAATATCTGGCATCCTACTTATGTAGCCATCATCATTACCATCACTTCCAACGTACACTTCGTTTTCTCATGTAGCAGCGCGCCGCCAAGGAGACATCCTGAGGGCTAAATGAACTCTCTCAAAATGACGCCATGTGTGCCAGTGTGACCAGCTGAAAGCGCTTGCATGAAATATACGATTTGGCTATCTATGCCTTGAGAACAGTATGGCCTTTTCCTGTCAATCATACAACGAAACTACCTAAGTAGACAGCGCAAAAATGTGCTCTTGTACGTACCATCGCCCTGTTCTCCTGAGCCAGTGAGGTCACTGAAACGATGTCACAAGTGCAGAAAGAGATATAAATTAAAACAGTGAGTAACATTTGAATGAAGTGCAGCCTCTCATGCAACAAACTCACTCGATGATCTGCTGCTTTGGGACTTTTGGGTCGTAGATGTTGAGAAAGGCTCCTTCTTCCATCAAGTGTTTACAAACGTAGATAGCAGCGCTCTCCCTGCATATTCAGGATCGGTTGAAAAGTGGTGGTAATGAGTTCAAAGACTGCACGACACTGTGAACAGGCAAATAGTGGAAGGATTGAGTGATAAGTAAATCATACAGGCACACACGACTGACTGCATGAATGGTGATACCGTATCCACACAAATGTACAACGTTTTTTTTTTCTCCCGATTTTCGCTACCAGAACAATACCTACATTTAAGCTGCCAAGAGAATGCACTGATGCACAAGTGTCTTATTTTATCTATTGATTTTTCTTCTTCAAGAAACTCACCCCTCACGTTACAATCGTGGTCGAATTTGCATACATTCTCATGCTTTTGGCTTGAACCCAGACTCGTGAGAAGTGCTTTGCATTAGTATAAGTAATCTTCATTTCCACATCAGCTGTTCCATGATTGCTTGTTGTTCGAATAGCGGAAAATAAAGCAAGACAGTTCATACGACTTACACCATAACTGCTTTATGTGCAGGACCGATTACAATGCGGTCTTTTTCAACTCCCACTTGCCATCCTACAAAACCCCACGTATACACATACTGCTTATTGTGCAGTCCCCTAAAATTGAAGACCTGTTATCATGTAGTTGGCGAAAAATCTTTCTGACAAACTCAGTGGCGAATGCACTTCTCAAAGGAGGTGTGCTGCTGGGGAGAAAGTGACAAGGATGCTACGAAAGAGGAGGGGATGTAGAGTGATTGCTGGAGTGATAGAGGGTGGGGACAGAAACGAAAAAATATCGCACGAGTGTGCAGGCTGGGCAAGGAGGGCTGTTGCTTATGCAACGAAGGAGCCTTTTCAATAGTGGTGGCATGACTTTGGCTGCCTTCTGGCTGCCTTCTGGCTGCATGCAATCACGTCAGCATCAAGTGTGCTTTGAATTACTTGTCGGGAAAAGCGTTCTCATGGATGGTGCCAGATATCACACTTGTGACCTCACAAATTTAAAAGGCTCACGGTATTTTAATGCGACCTTTCACCCTTGCTACCAATATGTGGACTTGCACAAGCTGGGCAAACTGTCACGGGTAATATCTCGGCCACAAACCCGAACTTCGTATTAGCCGCGCTGTTCTTATGTCAGTATTCTGTGTGACGTTCTAGACACCCAATATAGATGCTGTCTTAGGCAAACTTACGGCGACAACATGACAACCCACAGCCTAGGCCTAATCAGCATTGGTTGCCTTACGATTGCTGTCGCAGGCAATCGATTTGCGGTTTGGGACAGAATAAACAGAACTCTTGGCAAAAGCTGCGCTTCAAGGGAAGTTTATTTCCGCACTTTCTGGCACTTTCTTTTGTTTGTTTTCCTCAGCGTTCAGTTTATTGGCAACGTGGGTTTTCGGGCGTTAATTTTTGAAACTCTGGAAATTTAAATGGCTGTAAGCACCCCGCATCACATGCTTCAAATCTCTTACACATGATGTTTCACACAACTTCAGCCTTAGAAAAAGATTGTTTCGGTTATAGTGCAGATTGTATTTGTGGCTCCGGCCACTAACATTATATGCGGTGTATGCAGCCTTTAGAACACCCCATTTCATTCAGTCTGGAAGAGCATGAGAGAGGTTTCACTGCTTAATAAGAAACCGAATTCCATCAAACATGTTGGTTCAGTGGTTTCCATCGTTCGTGCACACAAAAATCAAAATTTCATGAACCGAAAATAACAGAATTCCACTGTATGTAGCTCTGTGCAGAGCATGATAATTTGATGTAACATGCACAAGTGGTTCATGATCACCTCGTGTCACCAGTGTTCTTCTTGAATGCAAAGCCAAGAACTGCAATCTTTTTCCTGGCTACAGTGTTGAAGAGCCGCTCGATGATTCGCTGAGCAAAGCGAGTCCTCTGAAAGCTGTTCATTTCCACCACCTGAAATGTGACAAGTGCTTGCATGATGTTCTCTCCCATTCTGGCAGAAATTGAATTCTTCTTTGCACACTACTTTCACTGTATAGATGAGAATTTCATTATTTTTTAAATCTCGCATTTGCACTGTCCCGACCTCTACAACCATATAGTAATTGTTTTATGTCTCAAAACACAATATGATTATGAGGGCGCTGTGATGAAAGGCTGTGAAAATTTTGACCACCTGAGGCACTTTAACGTGAACCTGAATCTAAGTACACGGGCCTCTAGCATTTTGCTACCATCAAAATGCAGCGGCCGCCGCAAGGATTCGATTTCTTAACTTTTGAGTCAGCAGTTGAGTGCCCTAACCGCTATACTACCTGTGGCAGATCTCTGCAACCATCAATGTGACGTCTCACATTGAAACTGTGCACTTAGCAACTTAAAAATGAACAGTGAGCAAATACTGGTAGCAGAAAGAGTCCGTACGCCATTGCAGCCATTCATTCACCTGATCCTGCATTGTCAACCGACGAATGGCTGTCGCATACGAGTACCAGAGTTTCGAACAAGGGCCAACTGCATCAAGATAGAGCATTATTTGTTAACGTCAACTGCTAGGACATGTGGGGAGGAGTTACCTGATACCAGTAGTTGGCAACCTCTGGAAGCTTGAGGCATTCGCACAGGTAAACCAAATTCAGCACGTCCTTTTGGAAGCAGCTGCCTCCGAAACCTGCGAGCAGAGGAAAGTCGCAGCTGTAACTGCAGAAACACTTTGCCAACAATAACAGTGCTAAGTGTGTATCAATCTTGCTTGCGAAAACACACACAGAGGTGGTACAACAGGCTTTTTAGTGCATCAAGAAGAAAAAAAAAGATAGGAAATCGGAATGGCTTTTCCTGCAACAAGTCACAATGGATACTACCGCAAAAAGTAACCCCTACTTTTTTTTTTAGTTGCTTGGGAGGGGCGGCTGCTTGCTAATCAACTTGTGCATTTGGTTGTTTAACCTGCCTACTCCAATGAAAACGTGTCTCTCTTGCCTTACAAAGAAAACCATTCGATCCTCGTGATTGATAAAGTTCAACAGTTACATGGTGATAAAGAATGCAGTCTCCGTACTGGTCAAGATAACCGTTTGTGGCTCTTATGCGCCAAGTTGGCTTCCTTACGTCCCTGTCTGATGACAAAAATTTCAGGATGGCTCCACTGCTACTTCGTGGCTACATTTGAGCTTAAGTTCTTACGCATGAAGCAGCCATTTTTCTTAATATTTGCAGATAAAATACAAATTTCTGAAACTTTTCTGTCATGTCAGGCGATGCACGTGTGTCCTCCACCCCCAGCAGGTTTGTGTGCAATGAGTCATCAGCGCTTGGTGCCTCTCCCAATAAAGGGTGGCAAAATAGTGTGCAGGATGATAATGGTGTGGTCAGCACGCTACTTCCGGAGCTTGCCACCTATTCTGATGCTATGCAAAAGTCTACAACTCCGATGCAGGATAAATACATTCATGTGAACTTGAAAAAAAAATAGAGATCTACAGCAAAGTTACTGGGCCATTCATCTTCAACCAATTTTGACTGTCTAAAGCTGCCTCGGTATAATGTAAACTCTACTAACCACATTCGGTCTGTGGCGTCAAAACAGACTGCTTCAACATTTAACTTTCCTTCTGACTTGTTCGTTGGAATGTTACAAAATCACTCTATATTTGGCAAGAAATCACTGTTCTCCATAAACTATGTGTACGTGTGTCGAATCCATACGCATCACCTTCTTCTGTACCCATCCTCACCTCCATAACTATTTTTAGGGGCGAAGCTCCTTATAGCGGCACCCGTTCGTCCCCCGTAGTACGTAACAAGTATAACATTTTGACCTCCAAGGTGGTGCCGGTGAGAGACTTCTTCTGTGCGTTGTTGAACAATAAAAAATAGTGCTCAATGTACATGTCAATGGCTGCTAATGGGGAATGAGAGACAGGAGCATTCGGCTTTTAGTTAACGCGCAGGCTGCGATCACCATTAGCAGCCATTGGCATGTACATTGAGCACTATCTGACAAGAAAGGGTTGCTACGTTATACTCGCTGGGTGTAACCTCCTTAGATTTAGAAAAGTTTAGCGAGCGTTGAGCCGCAGTGCCATGAATACAATGAACTAGTATATACCGTGAATGAACTCGAGGTGGTTAAAAATGGGAAGTAGATATGAAGCGCAAGCAGTAAGAAAGTAAAAGCCGAATTCTCCGCCTCTCATTTCCCATTAGCAGCCGTTGGCATGTACATTGAGCACTATCTGACTGAAAAAGTTTGCTACGTCATACTCGCTGGGCGTAACCTCCTTTGTTTCCGAAAAGTTTTGCGAGCGTTCGGCCGCAGTGCCATGAATACAGTGAAATATTATATACCATGAACTCCAGGTGGTTAAAGGTGGGAAGTGGACCCGAAGCGCAAGCCGTAAGAAAGTGTGCATGTGCCACCTCTCGTTTAGTCCTTGGAATGTCCGCTGAATGGCGGTGCTTCTATATGGGGAATATATAATGAAAAGATGCGAGATGGTGGTACTTGGAGTGTTGAATAGATGGACGAACGGACACATAGACAGATGCATGGATGGACGCATGAACGGACGCAGGGGCGGCTGCATGGACAAACGCAGGAACGGACGCACGAACAGATGCACGCACGGACGGGCTGATGGACGCATGGACGGTCACACTGACAGACGCATGGACGGACGGAAGGAAGAACGCATGGACGGACGAATTCTTCGCCCCACTCTCCATCATTCACTCCGTGAATATGCTGCTATTTTTTTCCTCTTTCCCCTGTGCCGAGCGCACAAGCTCAGGCCGAACCCCCTGCCTTCTGACCTAATCGCTCTCTCTGAATCTTACTATAATTAAAGGGACACTAAAGTCAAACGGCAATTTACGTCAGAGTGAAAGCTCAATGTATGACAACATCTAAAACCACAATATTATCAATAACAGTGCCTTACTGAGAAATCAAGGTAAATGCACAAGAATGCATGCGTCGCAGTAGGACATTCACAGAATGATCCTGATGACATCAGACACGACTGCCTACAATTAACAACTAGTAATCGATCTAGCTGCACTGAATGAAGAACCTTCCGTGCATCAAGAGATGCAATAAAATGCTGCATCTTCGTTTCTGTTTGATTCATGGAAAAAAGAACCGCTGGATGTTACTATGGAGAATGGCGCGAGTGGTTCAAAAAGTCAATTTTTGCGTAGCTACACAGGACAGGTGGTGCAATCTAGTGGGGCCCGGTTAAAACAAAAAAGTCTACGACCTTGGAGTCAATGGCGGGAAATTTATCAATGGCAGTTTTTGCTGATGTGGCTCCCGCTGCTTTCGGTCTGTTGCTACTAGCGCAGTAAAGCCGGGCACCGTTGTGCCCCGGCAACAATGACGCGAGACGGTCCAGTCGGTCCGCTTGTTGAGGCGGGTAATTTGAAGTGCGCAAACCTGATGCGAACCACTAAAGCGTGATCTTATTTCAAAATAGGCCCTTCCTTGGCACAAAAGTAATACTACGAAATTTCTGGACCGCTATTTCAACAATCTACGTCGACATAATAGTTGCCTTTAGTGTCCCTTTAATTTATTTGCAACTTACCTGCAACTTGAAGACAAAGCAAAAGGGAAAAAACTATGCTCTTATTTCTATGGTGTTTCTTGTATTCAGAAGGTAAAATTTATTGTTCAATAATAAAAAAATCTCCACTCATACGACAGCTTCTGTTCCATTAGGATACAAATTTGGTGATTACATTAACTCAAACAGCTTTATTTAGCTCGAGTTCTGGTTCTTTTTCAAGGTGACCCAAGGGCAACTTGTGCAGATTTCTTCTTTTTTTGCACAATTAACAATTAAAGTTAGTTTTGCAAGTTTCCTTAACAGATGATGGGATGTTGATGCAGCAAGTGCTCTTTGGTTGTTTTCTTTTATACATTCAACACTTTGAAATTTCGTTTGATTCAAACATATTCTTCCAGCCCCTGTAACTCTTAATTACCGTTTATCATGCATGCAACATTATATGCTAGCTGTTGAACACTGACAGCCCCCAATATGTAATACATGACACCAGAGCCTAGTAACATGCTTCGTTATCTTGACAAATATGTTCTGATGCATTAAAAGAAAATGCAATGTCTGTTCAGAGCTGTCAAAACAAAATACCATATTTACTCACATAGTATGTGCATCCCTAAGTTTTAACTATCATTACAGAGAAATAAATTTTTTCATCTATTTTGTGCTCTCTGTTCCACTCAAGCCAGTCGCGCATGTGAACGCGTCAACAAGCAGATTTTGTGTGGCTTCAGAGACCTGTGCTATCATACACAGAATAGAATGCCAGCGCATAGTCCTTCAGATAAATTACGCGTTGATGAAGGGCTAGCTTGACACTGCCAGAGTTCAATGATCAGGGGATTCACTGCAACTGCCGTCGCTGTTGGTGCTCCACAGTTTCAAAGGCTACTTGTAGACAGCGCGATGGGAGTCTTGGGACATGAACGCCAATTTTACTGTCATCCATGGCAGCCTAACATCTGTTTTGCACATGTTAGGCAGAACTTCTGCAGTCTGCATATGTATTGTTGAATAAACTCTTTAAGAACTACGTGTATAACATGCACTCCCATAGGGGGGAATAGACAGACCGTCACTACGTGTGGGTACTCTCAGCATAGCTTCTCTTTCCGCCAGCATAGTAGACAAGGGTTTCAAGCAAACGGATCTTGTTGCAGAGGCCGCAACGTTAATCCCGAGTCGGATTTCTCAACCACTAGTTATGATTAGACCGTGACTGGATATGACTGATGCAAGTGTGTGTTCTGTTAAATGAACAAGTACTCTTTATTTGTGCTAGGTTTCTTTATTTTCTTTTAAATGTATATTGCACATTAGAAATATACATATTGGACGCTACTTTGAGCATGTTTGTGAATCCTTCGCAAAATTTGTGCACACGCTTTCTGAAACTTTACATTTATGTAAAAAAAAAGTGTGTAAATTATGCGAGTAGATATGGTACGATATCCTCCTTACCAACACTGGCTTGAAGAAATCTCGGACCAATTCTGCTGTCACTTCCAATTGCATGGGCCACTTCAGAAACATCAGCTCCAGTTGACTCGCAAATGGCAGAGACAGCGTTGATACTAGAAATCCTCTGAGCTAGAAAAGCATTTGCGGCCTGCAAAGACACAATAATACAACATCAGACAGCCAGCCAGTAGCGGATGACCTTTTCTAAAATCTGTGCAGGGTGACTTACCAGTTTCGAAAGCTCTGAAGACCAGGTGTTCATGGTGATGATACGGTCTTCAGGAATCCAGTGCTTGTACACCGAACACAGCTCTTCAATAGCTGCTTGGCCTTCAGGGGTCTGCTCTCCTCCAATGAGTATGCGATCTGGATTAAGTAGGTCGGCAACAGCTGAGCCCTCAGCTAGAAATTCAGGGTTTGAAAGAACCTACGAATAGAATGAAACATTTAGTAAGCTTCTTTCATCACAGCCACTCTTGCGCGAAAGGTGCTGAGAATTCTGGTTAGGGCACCTTGACAGCATTACATATACACTTGACTATGCCAATCAATTTATTTCCTTTCGATAGGAGGAGTATGGGACTGAAAGGTTGAGAGCTTGACGAGGTCCCGACCCCATTCCAACAAGTTAGCAAAGCAGCTGGATGATGCACAATCGCACATGAATAATTCGAAATAAAGGTAACAAGCATAACATAGCATCAAATAATACAAAAATTATGACACAAAGCACTACAAACAAATAGTGAGAGAATACATATTTTTAGTCATAAAATGACATGAACATGGAAAAGCAACAATCGATAAGAAGAGTGGCCGAAATTACGAGAAATGTATTATTCGAGAAAATAAATTAGCTGGGCAAAGCGTTTAATCTAACAATCTTGATTCAACAAAGGGTCAAAATTTTTGCAGTTTAAAAAGTTTAACAGGAAAGACAGCCTGTAAGACACTGATTGTTCATCATAAACTGTTCCACGGGTGGGTACGGTCCACATTTTTTTTTTTTTTGTGCCTGGGGAGACGAACACTGGGGTTTACATTTAGCTTCAAGATTAATTATGGTATCGGTACCATGCTTAACAAATGCTTTATAGCACAGCATCAGCCTGTAATTATACAAAAAGAACACTGGAAGAATTTCATACTTTGGAAGAAGAAGCTTAGTAGAAAACAGATAGTGTACAGCAGAAATATGTCGTGTGGCTTGCTTGTGCGTGTTCATTGTTTAAGTTTAGGTCTGACAGCGGTGGCACATGATGCCAATGAGATAATGCTAAGAAGAGACAGATAGGCAAGGTGTGGTCTGGGAAACTTGGTACAAACTCCATTGCTCTCTAATTAAATGGGCACTGGCTGACACTTCTTCAAGCAGCTGTGCAATAATTCATTAAGGAGCTTACTGTCCTCACAAACTGACCACCACAAAGTTTTTATAATCTGCCTAGTACGAGCGAAGTAAAAAAATTTGTTGCAAACTTCATTTGCATTTTTTTCTTTTTTGTCCCAATGAAAACGCTGGCAGCTAAGAAGGGAGAGATGGCACGAGGAAAGAAGGAACGCCAGCGCGCGCCTCAGTAACGTTGAGCACTTCTCTCTCTCTCTTTCTGTTTCCTTTTTTTTTTTCTTTGAACACATTGTTTTCCAGTGACATTGCGTGTGTACAAGCGGATACGGCATGGCCTCTCACAGCGGCTCTAGTTACTCCCGAGCACACCATGCTCAAATCAGCCAATGGCATGATAGCATGAAACTGCGCGTGTTTGTCTCCTCTCTTGTGTCCTGTTGGTTTGCGCTCCCAATATTTTATTATGAATGGCATGATACTTGGGCCTATGACACACTCATTTTTGAGTACATAGCATTATATGTCAAGACAAGAGAAAACAATTTTCAGCCGATTTTGGGAATTCGTTGTGAACTCCACGCCGCGTGCTGCCCTATATAATATTTGGCTCACGTTTTCTTGGGAGCTCGACAACGGATTGGCAGCGTTTTCTGATCATGCACAAAAAGTGCTGCAAGGGCCCCTTTAATAATATAAGGATAAAGAATAAACAAGATTAAAGATTGTTGATGTTTGCAAATTATCTGACAATTTAGGCCGCACAATGTTTTCTAACCAGCAGTTATAATGTCGAGTAGAATAAACATGTGTCAGAACAGACACACATTAATTGTTCTCTTGGCCTACAGCACAGTACACCATTGTGTGCATTTGCACATATCCAACGTGGAAGCTGCACTCGAATTCACCACAATGTTTGCAGTAATCTGTACTTTTGCTTACGATGGTATACAGTATATAGACCTTGGAAAATTATCATGCATACCTAGGACAGTAAGGAGAGTCACTATGCATAGTCTCACAGTCAGGGATGTTCTAAAAGATCACTAATCACTCATCATGCTTTTCTAATATTTCCAAATAATGATAGACTACTTCTTGGTACTACAACTTGCTTGAATCTTTTTTTAACCTGCTTCTCTCTGTTGCTCTTACACGTTGTAATATATTGGCTTTGTTGCCTTGCACAAATATGAACTTTTACATACACCAAGTCTCCAAGCTCAGAAATGCAACACACTAAAAGGCCAGTGAACAGGCTCCGACATTTTCTTTACACCTTCCAATCAAGCTCACCAATTCGTGCAGTTGACAGCGGAATATTACACCGCCGCGCGCCGCGCAGACCCTCCATTTCGAAAAAAAAATCCTGCGCCCGTTTCCCTCGCCTGACTAATCCTGCTCGCATGCGCAGTCTGACGAAAGCTTGCCCATGGGCAACGTTACGCACCACTGAGGTTGTCGACTGGTTCTTTGCGTTACCAAACAGCACCTTAGCCCTGAGGCGATGTAGTTCTAGCTGTGCGGTCCGCATTTTCGTTTTCTGTGCTGCTCCCTGTCCTTTTGTAGAGCCAGAGGCTATGGGAGAAGCTGTATTGCCAGAACAAAAGCCTCTGAGATAAAGGGGCACCTCACTACTTCACTGTAAGAAGAAAAGTGCTCCTCGCTTCCTGCCTTCACTGTTATCACATATGCTCATGTGGGGGAAGCCCCGCTTGATCCTTGGTTGAGCGCCGATGACGTATCATGGACGTCTTGTCACGTTGCCGAAGTGAGCCGAGTCATGACGACGAGATGCTCCTTCCCCTCGCTATGGCGGGAAAGGGTGGCAAGTGGCCACTCGAAAATTTAAAACTGGCTGAAACAGAGGTTCTAGCCCCTGTAAATTCCTTGTTATAGCATGTATATTCGCAAAATTCTTGCAGCAGCATGTTAACACAGCAAAAGTGTGCATATTAAAATTTCTCTGTTAAAATTTTTGGACCACAAGGTTGTTTACTGGCCCTTTAAATAAAAACACGCTACACACACCTTAATGGGTTTTTGTCTAACATCAGATCATAACAGATCTTTTACAATCTTTTTATATCACACAGATATTACGCAACTACACTTAGTATTTACAAGAAATTAGTTGTAATAATCCTAAGGCTTACCTGGAACTTTGCTCCCTCCATAATGTTGGCCTTGAGGATACGGCTAATGCTCTCAGCAGCCTTGACCGGAACTGTGCTTTTTTCAACCACAATCTTTGGAGTGATGGCCTTCTCAGCTATGGTCCTGGCAGCCGCCTCCACGTACTGCAGGTCGGCTGCCCTTCCCTGATTCAGAGACACTCGCATTGTAACTCAGTAAGCAATGATCGCTGTGCACCTTTAGCTTAGATAGCATTTGGTAGGTTTATTCTTATACATACTTACTGTGCTCACACGATGAGATGTAAGAGGTAAACTTTAAAGGGACCGGCAACAGGCAAGAACATGCAATTAGATCCTAGTGGAAATGATAAGACCGTGAATTACAGTGACATAGTCGAAGCATCGTTTTTGCGATGTAGGTAGCATTTATATTTTTAAATTGCATTTAAAAGTCACAAAAAGCCGGTATGTTATACAGCCTAGTGGAAGAGCCTTCAAGCTGGAATATGGCAGTCGTTCACGATGCTGTACATAGCCTGATGTTGGTAAATTATTACACCTATCCTCTCTGCTCCGTGCTGCTTACGAGGTTAAAGAAAGTTACAAGCAGAGAAGTGGCGCTGCCTACATGGCAACTATTGAAACATGTTCAGCCACGGCAAATTCGCATAGAGTGCATACATACGCAGCAAGTCACCACATACAAATATGAGTTCACCTCTCTCTGTTTACAGCATGTGCTGTCTGTATATAACTCCACAGTCACCATGATTCAAGATTTTATTACAAATGTTTCACGGTGTTTTTCACGTTACAATTCTGTGACTCGACACTCTTAATAGTAAGCCTTCTGTTGCGCTAAAAAACACAGGTACTATAAAAATTGGTCGTCAGTTTCTTTAAATGGTCAAATATGCTTGTAAAGATGTGAAAACTAGACTGTAAAAGATTATTTCAGTCCAAAATAAGGTGTAGAAGCAGCACATGTAAACATTAGCTGCGGCACATATAAACATTGGCTGTAAACTTCGCCAGTCGACGGCAATCGCCATTTTGCCATGGCATGCGTGACGTCACAAGCTCTAAGGAGCAATGCCATCATCTGCTACCAAATAGCACCTGCCGCACACGATCTGTTCACTGTGTTGCGAGTGTCGCTTGCCGCGTGGTCTGTGTGCCGCAAGTGTTGCGGCATGTTACCTGTAACATCACCTTGTCGTTGGCCCCATCATCACCTCACGATTGAGGCATCACGTGGTTTATCGAGTAGCAGAAGCGGCGACGACAATGTGTACACAGCGGCACTTTGACCCCATCGCCACCAGCTCAAGCGTCGAAGACAGAACGAACCCAAATGCTGACGAGCTGTGTTGTAGGAGATGTTGCAGACGGCGTTCCGTAATGACAAGTAGTTTTATTTCAAGCGTGCCAGCTTGACAAGAGAGCTTGAGACACGGGGTCTGCTCGATGCTGCACTAGTGAGCAAGTGTTACTTTGCGCAGTGGAATTGATAGCGTGCCGATTTTGTTTGCTAGCATACGTGCATGCATGACTTTCTGTGCTGAACACAATAAATAGGTGGTCGTATCAATGCTCCGCTTTCGGGTTGTTGTTTTTCCATCAATTGTCGCGTGCCACATATGTAAACATTGGCTGAACCAAACGGCATGTCAGTGCGGCACTAAAGTTGTTTGAACTCTGTCGTTAGCATTCGGTTCCGGTAAAAAATAGCAAGTGTGACGCTTAACCATGGCACTGCCTGCGAGAAGTTTCAATAAATATTTATCTCTGTAGTGTAAAATGCCTTACGCGTTGAACAATCATAGGACACTTTTTTACCTCAGACAGACTGACCAAAAATTGTTTGCTGCAAGTACCAGCGCGACATGGGTGTCGCAGTGGATTTGTTTCAACCGCGGCAAGTCATTTAGTTCCAGTGGCAAGTCGAGCAGTGCAGGAAAAGCTCAATTGCAAGCGCAGCTGACCACAGAACACGATCGTTCTCCGTAATGTAGACCATGCAGCAGCTCGCCCAGCAAGCGGCTTGTTACGTCACGGCTAGCGAGCGTGCCAGTGTTGCCTGACTCTCATGGCGCTCGCTCGTTTGTGAAAATATTTAATTCTATATTAACGGCACGACGAACTGCGCTAAAATATCGCCAGCTTGTCTGTGAATGCAGAAGGATCAACTCACACAACACAGATTATGCTCGAAAATTGGTTGTCGCGACCCTTTAGGTAAAACAGCCCATTCATGCTATGTGCAATAATGTGGTTGCTAAAGGTAATAGAGACTGGGATCTGAATGCGGCTCCCAAATTCAGAGCGGTGTTATCAAAAAAGTCAGATAATGGAAATGAAAATATTCACAGTAGTTAGCTTTAAATTGACATCGATCATTCTGTGAGCACTGCAATTTATATGGCTGGAAATAAAAGGGAACAAGCTGGTCTGATTTTGCCTGATGTGAGACTGTAATTCGGAGTAACAGGCTACTGCTGTGATTAATGAAAAAAAAACTGCACTGCTAATGAACAGTGGCTAAAGAACAGCCCAGGAAAGAGGTTTTGACAAGAGACCTCATCAAAACATTGGATCCTGCAGGGCTAAGCATTTTTCTGTTTAATCACTGTCAATCATTGTAAGTTGTGATTTTTTTTTTGTGTGTGAGCTGATGTCTTTTGTAAACTGATGACTAGACTGAATGGTGCAATTTTATTGTGTAGCTCATGCTCAGATTACTTATGACTTGTGTAGACTAGCATATACTAAAGGCCTATCTACATGCTAGGCCTTGAATATAATTGCTCTTGTGACAATGGCGGTTCACTAACTCTCATTGCAGTGTTATATACTTTTCATACATGCTAGCAAGCTCTCTAATTGAGGACGCAATACTTCTATGCTGTATTCAGAGCAGCCAGTAATAACAAGCTACAAGGCTTCTCACCTTTCCGAACCCGTAGTTCTTTGTTGGCGTGTTGACTGAAATGAAGATCAGATCAGCCTCCTGGATAGCTGTGTCTATGTCACATGAAAAGAAGAGGTTTCGCCCACGACAAGCTTTTACAATGTCATCCAAGTGGGGCTGAGGGGAAGAAAGTGCGACATGTGTTAGTACATGCTCTTTGCTCTTCTGATACAGTGTTAAAAAATTAAAGGACCCACCCCCATATTCATGCCTAAGCAAACAAGAAGCATCTTTAGGCACCCAAACATGACATAGACGTGCAAAATTTATATGGTGCATGTTCCTAATGCAAATGATAATTTTCCTTCGAACCTTACTGTAAAGGCAAAATACTTGGAAATGCCGAACAAGTGGAATATGTTGATATAAGTACACAATACAGCCATGCTCTGTGCATGTGCCGTCTCCCTAAGAAGCAAGCCTCACTACCTAGTGCACATAGACTGACATTATCTAGCAACAAAAGGCACACATTAAGTGCATCTTAGTGTTGTAACAGAACGGCTGGGTGGATGAGGCTTGCGACACGCTGTTTTGTGTGTGTGTGTGTGCACACTAGCGCTAGCACGTTCATGTGCTTGGTCATCTTTTCTTCTTTGTTACGTTAAATGTCATTTCTCTTTTCAGCACCTAATTGGGCAAATGGTGGTGACACAGTCACAATTGTGCATCATATTGCCGACACAGTTTTAGCACTAGTAACAGTCGTGAACCATATTTATGGTGCACGATTGTGACTAACACTAAAAAAGCCTAAAGTTTGACGTGTGCTAAGGGGCACCTAACGCTATTCTTTCAGAGCAAGGCAACGCCATTGTAGACACACTAGATAAAGAGATTGAAGAAGAAAAAAGTAGCATGTACTTTGTTTCATTAAACATAAAGGAGTGTTTAATGAAAGAAACTATATTTCTAACCTCGTATATAGGCAAGTCGTCCGAGTTCCATTGACTGATGCGCTCAGGACTCTTGTCTGCGACTACAACCTTGATGTCAGGACACTTGTGGGCTATAACACTGCAGGTGGGACCCCCAACGTAGCCAGCTCCTATGCAGCAGATGTTTTTCACCACCATGGCCTGCATTAAATGTTCATGGCATGCCAATGCTGTTCTGCAGAGCAACATAATGTCCAAGTCAGGAGGACACAGTACACTTTTCCATCAACGAGATTGGTGTGTTTGATTAGCACAAGTGTGGCCTCGTTAATAAAGGAGGCATGTGAGAACAAGAAGATAGCTGCCAATGCCTCATTGACACAGCTGTACTGTAACCCCAGTAGACATCTCCTCATGGTGTGGATAAGTAATTGGTTTTCAGCTGAAAAGAACCAATCAAAACTGTGCAAGTACAAACAGTGATGTTAAGCAATTTCAAGATGATGCAAATGAACAAATACAACTTCATTATGAAACCTCAACAAAGAAAAGCATATTATCATCATTTTAGCACTTTCAGCCTATTTTTATGTCCACTGCAGCACGAACTCTCCAAATGATTTCCTATTTGCCCTGTCCTCTGCGAGCTGGTTTAATTTTATGCCTGTGAACTTTGATTCCATCATTCCATCTAACCCTCAGCCATTCATGGCTACGTCTCCTATTTCTTGGTATCTACTCTTTAGCTCCAGTGGACCAACAGTTATGCCTTTTTTGCATTATGTGGCCAGCCCAAGTTCACTTTCTTTATCGATGTTAGCTACAATGTCGGCTACGCCTGTTTGTTCTCTTCTTACTTTAAAGGCAAAATACTTTGAATTATCAACAAGTGGAGATGCTGATATAACAATACAATACAGCCGTGGTCTGTGCATGTGCCATCTCCCCTAAGAACCAAGCCTCACTACCTAGTGCACCTAGACTGACATTATCTAGCAACAAAAGATATGCATTAAGTGCATCTTGGTGTTGTAACAGAACTAATCTTAGTGTTTTAACAGAATCTGTGCTTTTGTTCCATTAATAATAATAATAACTTGCTGGGGTTTACCAACCTAAAAACACTGTAGATTAAGGGCGGTGACTTTGTCTATCTTAGGCATAATGTTCCATGTGGCACAACATGTGTCAGCTCTCCTCTCGTGACCACACTTTGTTGTCTTCTTTCTTCAAAAACACATTCAACAATATTCAAAAAGAACAATATGATTGTGAGACAAACTGTGGTGAAGGGCTCTGGAAATTTTGATTACCTGGATTTTTTTTAACATGTACCTAAATTTAAGTACACATGCATACACGGGTGTCGATCATTTTTGCGTTCGTTGAAAATATGGCCACAACGGCCGGGATTCAATCCCGCGACCTGCGAGTCATCAGTCGAGTACCATGATGTGCTTTTTTTTTATCACCTGTTGCGTGGTTCTCAACTGCATGTTTTATTGTTATCCTCCAAGTTTCCTCAACATTAATAGTATTGGCAGTATACAACGTGCACTTTACACTCTATAAACAATGGTACGCTGCTTCTCATAGTTTGGAAATGTCTGCTGTAGCCTGTTAGCGCTGCTACCCATTGTTCAATAAATTTCCTTTTCACATATAAGAACAAAATATTCTTCACATATATTCAACAAATATTCACATATAAGAACAAAATACACACATTGCAGTACTTGCACTGTGCATAAAAATGCTATGTCATATATAACTTCTGACAGAACAAATTTGTCTAGCAACTGTCAAGTGTAGACTATGAGTGTCATTCGATAATGCTTTCTTATCCAGCATCTGTCACGTGACTCTTCTAACACAACTTTCCTTTTCCTCAGACTAACCTACTTCCAACTTCACAAGCAAGAAAGCACTCTATGCATTATGATGCCTCATGAAGTCATGGTCATATTGTGCATTCAGATCTTAAAGCCCCAATTTAATTATTTTAAAAAGGTAACTCCCAACACCCCACACCACTTTTCTTACACCTCCTCGTGTTACCAGCATCCTACCGGCGTGGAATGCCACGTGACATGACAACTGAACTACCTCGTCAAACCCCCAATGAGAATGAACACTTCTGTCCTGGTATACCAGCACAAAAGTACTAACATTTTGCCAGCACAGGTTTTACAAAAAATTCTTGTGCGGTTATATTGGTGTACGCCGACTGCCACAGCCTTCGTAAAGTAGCTGGCAAGTGTGTGGTGCTAGAACAATAAATATATATTCAGTGTGAAGTGGGTGACAGTGCACGAATACGCACATCTTTCACAGCTCTAGGAACATTTGCAACACACGGTGCTATCATTTGACTTGTAAAGAGCATGCTTCGTACGAGACACTTGCTATTTGCGTATGCTATATGCTGCACCTTGAGTGCTGCATAATCGAGATTCTGTGAAGACATGGGGGCACACAGAAAAGAATGCACAAGACAAATGCAGCATTCTGGTCTCGAGCTTCAAATCACATATGCAATACCTGGTGTCAAGCCACACCTGCTCCACCGCAACGTTTACGCCAGTTATTTCGCGACATTATGCTCTAATTTGTAGCGACGGAACCAGGAAAACACTTACATCACCGTTAGTGTAAATGACTAAATAACTGCTTCATAAATTAAAAGTAAGATAATTATGGTAGATTTACCTTCAGAAGCTTCAGGCAGAGTTAATGCTGCAAGTGGCTCACAAACTGCTCAAATATGCGATCAACTCGGAGGAATAACTACACACAGCGAATAAGTAGAGCGCGGGATGCGAGCTCACTCGGTAGCGGATAGAACCTTGGCACGCGAAACACAAGCCCAGTCTTTTCACCCGAACCCATGCAGTCGCGCTACGGAGAAACAAGATCGGGGGATTCTAAGAACTGGCCCCCATCACGTAGCCCGGGCAGCTCTAAAGGATCAATGACCATTCACGATGTGGAAGCTTACCTTAGTTTGTCGAAGGCCACGCAGAACTTTGGCGCGACAAACTTTGCCGGAGACCCGGAGTTCACTGCGTCCCGTTCACGGCGTGGTCTCGACTGCGACTCGGAAGTGTTCGACGTGGCCGTGATCAGAAAACCTCCGCTCTGACAGCGAGACGTTACGCCTACCACACCGCTACTACTTTTTTCCAGTCGGGAGATCCGAGGCTTGAAAAGCGGCAGCACAACGTTTCGGGTGGTATAATCAGTCCGTAACGCGCGATGTTTCCGTCACAGCACTTTCTGTCGCGCATAGATTGTCAAATAAAGAGTGCAACCACTTCACACAGAAGCTTGCGACCACAGGCCCGACCACAGCCGGAGGCCCTGCGTTGAATCGGGCGGAATCGCTGAATGAAGGAACTCGGGAGCGAAACCTTGGGAAAGCCCGATCGCCGATTTCTCCTCCATGCAGCGGTCGACGTGACCTCTAGTCGATCAGAGCAATTGTGTTGGGCAGACAGCTAGCGCCATCTAAGTATCAAGAATAAGTATCACGCAAAAAGCGCGGCCTCCGAGACGGCTATTTTAGTTTATGTCTCAGAGGCTACGCTTTTCGCCGTCATGTTTTGGCGCGTTGAAGAAGCTTACTTCAAAAGAGCCCAGAATGAAACAGCTGTCGGCCACTTTTGTGGATCACTCACAGAAAACTAAATGCATTTATGACTCGGCACATAGAAACAAGCAGCCCTTATGCAAGCCACAATAACACATTTGACAGCATCAACACTTCACTTGTGCTGTCTCTGCACCCATATGTCGGAGTTTGAAAAAAACAAAAAAATGTACTTCACAAGAATAGAAATTCAGCCTTAATGAATAGGTAGAACTTTTAGCCCATAAGCTACACGAGGACGAAAAAATAGGGACACAACCGACACAACACGCGTGGTAAGCAACAGTCAGCAGGGCGAACGAGCCACTGTGAAGACATCTTGTAAGAAAAGGTAACGATGGGTGGTCGGTATGCGGGTGTGAAACTTCGTTTCAGAACACTAAGTTTTTATCAACTAAAGAGGTCAAGTAACGAGATTGGTAATAAGAGCTGAGAAAATGGCAAGGTTAACTGCCTTGATCTGAGGTGTAGATCGAGCAAGCAGGCAGATGGGGTCGAGTGTCATTTTGTGCACTGTACGCTATGACAAAAAAAAAAAAAGAAGAAGAAGATTATGATGAGAGACGTGGGAAGCCATAGAGTTTCATACATTCAAAATTAGGCAGATCCCACATACGTGTAAATCGATGTTATGCGAAGCATGCGGAGGGAAGGTGACTGTGCTGCATTTTTTTTATTAAGCGACAGGTCATGAAAGGACGCAAAATATATGTACAGATGTTGCCCGCACAGACACATGTCGAAGAGTTGCAGACGTTTATATAACCAGTTGTTTGCACTTGCGCAACTGATGTCAAATGTAACATGCGTATTAGCAACACCAGAAGCTGATATGAAGCACTGATGCTTGCGAGGATGCTGCCTCTGGACACTGCTACATAAATCAACTTTAGCGCATGGCAACTAACCACAATATGTAAACCTGACGTGACGGCTGTATTAGAAGAGTACATGCATGTAACGTTTATAAAATTGGGTAGGCAGCACTGCAACCACTATTGACATTTCACGAAGACTAGCCTCTATTTGAAAAGCAGTTCCGAAACTTGGCGTAGCTCTGTCGTAAAATGCTTCATTGCCACGCAGGCTGCTTGGGTTCGATTCTAGCTGGGACCTTGACATTTATTCTTTGCATTCGTCGGGTCAATGCTACCGATGTCGGTTATTTCTTAACGCTCGCGCGTTAATATTGCCCATGTGTGTTCTCGTCGTTCCTGGGTAGATACTAAGTGTCAATCACCTGTGGCACGACGTACGCGGCGGGATTGTGACATTATTCACGTCTTGACCAGCGTGTCATATTTGTCAAACCATCTTACCCTCCCATGCTAATTTTGGTTCACGCCAAGTTAAGGGTGTGATCACGAGAGCACCCTGTTGCGAAGCGCGCCTCCGACGACGTTACGAAGGGCGCCACGAATCTCACCGCTGAAACCACTGTTTCGAAAGACGGCGACGCCAACACGGTCCCGAAGGCGCCACTGCTTCGAACTCCGGCAGGAAGGTCACCAGCCGTTTGGTAGCGTAGGTTTCTCAGCTCGCGGCTGCTTCAGCGCAGAGCTGATAGACGAGCGGACGAGACGACGATGAGTTAAACAAGGTTTATGTACAGCATATATACAGAGGCGTTACAAATTCGGCACTGGGGCCGACAGCTTAGAGACCCGAAGAGCCGAGCTCTCCTCTCTAACACATAGCTCTACTGCTCGCGACGCGCCGCAGGGCTTCTTTTACATGCACCGGGTGGATTCTTTGAGTAACAAAATGTCCAACCAGAAGCGCCGCTGGTCGTGAGGTCAGAATCCTCCGATGGGGTCGCCGCGGGGCCGCGTCATTCTCATCGAATCTGGAGCCGCTGCGCTGCACGTGGCTGCACCCAAGGACGAGTGACGTCGCCACGCATTGCGTCAGACTCGCCAGACAGAAAGGCGCCGGTTGCTTCGACGGGCTCGCTGGCTGAGGTGACTCACTGGGTGTGCGCAGCAGAAAGGCACCGTCGCGTGATGGCGCCGTTGAGTTGTTCGCGTCAGGCGGACTCGCGTGCTGACCTTGACACAGATTGCCTTTTTCAGAGGTATGGACGTTCGCTGTGGACTCGCAGGCATAACAGCACCCCCGCCGCCAGACCATGCGCCGGAAAGACGAGCTGCTTCCACGTGGCTCGGATGTCAGGAGCGCTCGTTCGCCAGGTCCTTCCAGGTTCGCCTCAAGGGTCATGGGGAGAATGCAGCTCCAGACTCTGTTCCGGGAACACATCCCATTCTTGAGGACAGATCCCAGCTCCACTGGCTTGTCGCCACAGCTTGTCGACCAGCTTCGCTCGTCTCTTCTGACGATCTTTGGTTTGAGCACTTGTCGATGGTTCTGCAACTTGTCAAGAACGGTTCGACAACAAACACACGACACAAGCAAGTGCCCTCGGTCACCCGACAGAACACCAGACAAAGTATATTACAACATGTACCTAGCTACGTGTCTATCGGGATTTCGTCCCCTCTACATCAAGAGGCACGTACATGTGGGACACAAGACTCTTGAAATGACAACTCAAATTTTTACTCGTACAATAACTTAACGACATAGAATAGAACATAAAGTTGGCTCCTTGAGCTCATTCTGGACAAGAGCGCTCAGCAAAGGTCGTGATGAGGTCAAAATTTAGCCCCGAATCGCCAGCGAGAAACCGAAAGGTGGAGAAGGTACTAACTAAACGCACGGCTCAATGCGTCTGCATTAGTGTTTAGCTTTCCTTTTTTTTTTAGCGAACGTCGAAGTTGCGCTGTTGGAGTATCACGCTCCATCTCAGTAACCGGCCACTTTTAGGCGACGATACCTATGCGGTACCAAGAGCGGCTCATACTTGCGACGTTGCAGAGGGGAACAACGATACGGCTTGCTAGGGATTGGCTCCTCACAAGTTAGCTCGATATCGTGTTCGATCATCATCGTGTTTCCGGGACGGTCCAGAAAACACGTATCCAAACTCGGAAACAATCCCTTTGAGGTCCTCCTTCTGGACTTCACTTAACCTAGGCTCTAGGTTCAACTGCTCCAAGATTACCTCCGATTCACTTTCGATTACCTCAGTAGAACTAAAAAGTTCTGCTCCCTCTTCCTTTGAAGCATTCAACAGCTGATTTACGACCGCTTGACGTTGAACGTATGGTTCATCAAGTTGTAAATTTTGTCCGGCCGCCTTCCTAATTTCACTTCATATATCAGAAAGCTTCATGGGTGCCTTCCACTTGTCCGCGGATTTCCCCGCTCTCTGACAAGTGTCGCATGAGCGTACAAAGTCTTCGATATCCTTCCAGCATTTCGGTGAATAGAACTCAAGGAAAACTCTAGCCTTGGTCTTTTTTTTTTTTTTTTGCCGAGATGCCCTGCCCACGCGTTTTCATGCGTCAGTTCCAATAGTTGGCGACGATACTTTTGTGGCACCAAGAGCTGCTCATACTTGCGACCTTGCGCATTTGTGTAGCTCCGATACAGGAGCCCTGCTTTCTGAAAAAAAGAAACATTCTTTTTCTTTTTTCCCAAGTGTACGCTTTCCATTAGCGCTTTTATCGAGAGGTCCTCACGCTGCTCTCGAATGAGTGTTTCTCGATCAACCCTCGACAGCTTACTCCAACTTTCCGCTACAGGCGAGAGCGTTGCACCCCTCTCGCTCTTACTCAAAGGCGCCATGTCGTCTCCCCCTGCTACGGAAACCACGCCAGTCGCTTCGGCGACGGGCCGCTCGAGTGACTGCTCACATGACTCACACGGAGAATTTTCCTCTTTGAGGTTCCGTCGACTCGCCGCCAAGGTCACTTGATGCTTCACCACATTGAACAAGATCCAGCTCCTGCTAAAGCTTCCGCGGTTGCCATCGCGCGAGGGCCATGTACATTAAGTTGGAAAAGAACGATTTATCCTGCTCTTTGAGAAGCTGCTCTGAGTTATTGGAAAATAGATGAAGAAAACGATCGGGAAGCGCGGTAGACACAGCCGCTTCGGCGCGAAGCTTACCGAACGGGTCTTCAATGACAACTGTAGCGACTGGTAAGCAAGCACTCTGCCCCTCGGCGACTCTCCTGATCCACGCGCATTCTCTTGTAAAGTCATCCGGAGATATCAATGAAGGATGGACAACATCCATGGTTGCCGCTGAGTCACGAAGCGCTCGACACGTTTGCCCATTCACACTAATTTCTTGGATATACGACTCCAACAACCGCATGTTCTTTTTCGATTCTCGGATTGTTGCGAAAGCAAACTTTTGCTTACAGTTTATCGCGATGTGCCCTTCCTTTTTGCAGTTGTAGCAGATTAGCGGCTTCCGTTTGTTTTCCGATTCTCGTATAGTTGCAAACTTTTGCTGACAGTTCATCGCGATGTGCCCTTCCGTTCTGCAGTTGTAGCAGATTCGCGGCTTCTGTTTGTTTTCCGATTCTCGGATAGTTGCAAACTGTTGCTTTCAGTTTATCGCGATGTGCCCTTTCTTTTTGCAGTTGTAGCAAATTCGCGGCTTCCGTAGATCAGGTTTCTTTGAAAAGCCCTCTTCCCTTTCATCCTTTTCAACGCGCACTGCTATGCAACTTTCGACGAGTATAATACTCCTCAGCTAACGCTGCTGCCTTGTTTAGCTGTACTTCACCAAGTTTGTCCTGCAGCTAAAGCTTGACATCCTCCTCGATGCAGTGGTAGAATTGCTCCAATGCAATGCATTCTACCACTTTATCGCGGTCGTCATAAACACCTTCGCCCTTGAGCCATTCAATTAAATCGGCTTTCAGGCGAAACACGATATCAACGTGTGACTCA